TAGACTCGTGATTTCCTATTTTTATTTCAGCTAGTTCTTACTTCATTGATCTATAATTTGTTTATGGCGATTTTTTTAAAAATTCTAGTGAGTACAGGCGCTAGCTTTATCGGCTGTTGTCTGAAGCATCAGAACGTACAACAAACGTGATTTGGACCGAGGCCACGTACACTATAGAATACGATTATATAAATATACACAATGAACAATGATTAAATTATTTCACTTATCCTGAGAGTGCTCTGTACAAAATAGATCAAAATACGCAGCATATGCCGTGACCGCATTGCGTGACGCACAAATAGTGGCTGTAAGATTGTGTTGCGCAGTCACGCTTATCAGCAGTGGTCCGCAATCGATCAAACGTAATATTTTGGCGCAGTGCAAAGCAAGCAACTATCTACATATGACTCAGCCGATTTTGACTTAGATGCAATGATGTTGATATGCCAGAAAGATGGTTACAGACGCATGGTATTCGACCAATAATAGGCTAGGTTGCAGTAGGCGATGTACATTGGACGCTAAACCTTGTGTAACCAAAAGCAAACTTCTGCTTTATGTGCGACGAATGGTGAGAGATCGACTAGAAACACGTCAAATCGGCTTTGGACCTGCCTTTTACAACAAATAAGGTTAGAACATTTCGAAATTGTGTATTTCAACTTAACATAGGTCAAGTCATGTGGCGCATGCTAAAATATACGTCTAACCCGAAAATTGAAATTTGACGACGGATGGTCGAATATTTGCATTTTTGACGTACTTTGAAAAGCTCTCGCGTCGCTCACAATCATTTGCCCAAATAAATTTTTACAGGAGTCTGTAGACCATCCTTCTGCGATTCAACCACCAGAAGCTTAATCTATTCGAAGGTTTCGCACATGGTGAAAATTAATCATATTCACGAAGTACTTTCAAGTGAATGAAATACATGTCCTCGAAATTTAATTATTTTGCACCCAAAAAGACAACGCAACATTTCCTAAAATCAACATTGCACAAAAATATTTGAGTGTTTTAAAGACGGAAGAATGATGTGGTCTTACATGCGAGGCTCTCAAACTTGCCTGATAAAACGGTGCGTCAAATGACGATTTTAATGGAATTTGGTAATTTGCATGTTTCTTTGAAATAAAAGGATATTTTGCCAAAAAAACTAGCCAGTAGTTTTTGTCATGCCCTAGCCTATCTACCATAAGAACATGAGCGAAATCGAATTTTCGACCCTTGCCGCGAAATTACTGAAGAATTTGTCTGACTTTTACTGGTAGGCGGCACTCTGAAAAGCTAGGCTTGTCAAACAAATATATTTAACAATCTTCAACGGAGGCCTTTTGCGGAGTAAAAGATATGCTAACGCGATCTTTTAGTCCCCAAACATCTCTCCAAAGTGAAACGACTGACAAAACGTGTGCTGTGTGTGTGTAAGTTTTGTTTTTTCATTTAACGTGGGAGGTCTTCAAAGTTCGATTTTGTGTCAATTCTGAAATTAATTTTATTTGTACGTCTTCTCATGCCTCGCTTGTACTCAGTCGAATTAATTTTACAGGCAATCGAAGCTCAATTTAACCTTCTAGGAGAAGCTGAGAACTCATCAGCAAAAGAGTTCTTCAGAATTTCGTCTTTCAAAGGACAAGGGAAATGAGATGCATTCCGATTACTTGTAGAACCCGAAACTGCTCACATACGGTAATGCGTTTAATCAAAACTGTAAACAGATCCATTTCATTTTCTAATTTCTTCCTGCTTATCTTTGTTTCTGAGTCATCTGTACGGGTTGTATTACTAGCAGCACTTGTATTAAAACTGTATTTGTTAAATGAGAAAAACATTTCTGATTAAAATCACCCAAGATCATGTCTTTGTGTGGAGGACGAAGTCCAAAGTAGTTTTATAGTAAATAAACAAAAAATAAACAAAAAACTCACAGTTTTCTGGTGGATTGGCGGTAACTAATCGTGGAAATTTGTACGTTTCATTGTGGGAAAATACGATAGCTTATAATACTTCTGTTCAAAGGAAATTTGATTTTGCCTCTGCTGGAGACTTCCCCGCCATACGCTGGTTATTTCAAAATAGCTTTCAGCTTCGTTTTTTGATTAAAACAAGTTTCATTTCTTTGTTGTCGCTTGGAGAACCGCCAAAATAACGAGTCTGGCAATTATCGTGACAAGGAAATACTGTTACCCGAAAATATCTCAAAAGCCGTAGAGAACGGTACATCACGATTTCTTAGCCAAGATTTAGAGAAGCAAGAAAAATATTCACAACTGATTTGAGTTTGCGTCAGTGAAATTGAGCCTTTACGTTTGGACGTATTGACAGCCAATCTCGGGGGACAAGTAAGTAATTGAAACCATGTTGTTCACCTGCCGACAGAACGTGACTCTTCCAGTAAACAAGAGTGACTTTTGCTTGTCAGCTTAATTAATGTCTCGCCGGTTTTTGCATTTTTTCTTACAATATGGCTGGTCAAGGAAACAACATTTCTTTTGAGTGAGCGGTAGTATTCTCTCTGTTGAAAACGGAGGTTAGTTCTTTTGTTGTTGTTGTTGTTGTTGTTGTTGTGCTTCGTTGGGAACCCTGTTTATAACTTAAAAATTCTCATACAAATTTGAATATGGTTTTGCTAAATTTGCAAACGTATATTCGACGTTATCCTCTACTAATTTTCATCTTGTGAGCTAGTTTGTCAGATACGTCAACGATCGATATGTATATAATTGCATGATCTTTGTGGCATCGGGCCCCAGTTGTAATTTCTATGTGAGCTTCATGTATATACTGGCAGAATTATTGCCCGAGTCCAACCAAAATCTGGGCGGGCAAACGATCGAAACCATTCCTTTTCAAAAACATTCTAAATTGTTAAAAGACCGTGATATATACTTAACTTGTTATGTAGATTTTATGACTTACAGGCACTCGGCAAATTGTGCTTGTGATCAAAGTTTTTAATTGCACAAGCAATTTCCTACATAAAACGCATTGTTGGTCGCTTTTTCATTTTTCATTTTTTCCCGGAAAATTTTAATTTTCTCTGACAGACAATGTTAGTTCAAAGCAGGATCGAACGGATTAATATGTGTATTAGCGACGCGATATCTAGGATGGAATTTAAAATATTGACCAAGCGTGAGGCCCATATATAGATATATTAACCACGAACTTTTTCTTTCTTTTTTCATTTCATGTGTACCGAGTTTAGGTCAACTTATGAACAGTAACAAAACCAAACAAACTAACTAACAAACAAAGAAAAACAGTGAGGTCGATATTGCTGGCATCTGCGGACACAAAAACGTGGTCGTCGACAAAATGTTCGACTACATGATCAAGACGAAAAAGTGGAAGAAAATGGACTGCTCGTGTAACCAGTCAGATACCTTGATTATCTTTAGCTGAACCGCTTGCTTAGCAGAGAAGCAATGAACGCAAGCAGATCGTAGAATAAGTCAGTGTATCTCTCTTTTAGCCGATACGATGCCCAATAAAAGCACTGAGGAGATAATCTTCTAAGGTAATAGGCTCAAAAAGGAAAATACAACGCTCAGCAAATAGACAACGAATAACGTTGGCAGAACTTCTAAAACTAATTTAAGGGACCAATCGGGTAACAGTAAAGCGCGAAGCTATTACGACAACGTTTCCATTTAATCCTTATGACACCTAGAATCATATGACTCATTCAGATATGAGACATAAAAATGACATTTGCCTCAAAGAAAATTGATTGCTGTAATCTTAAACAGACGAATCAGAACGATAAAGAGAACAATTAAAGCTTCTTATGAAAACAAAGGTAGAAAAGTAAGATGGATTTTAATCTATGTTAGCAGCTGACTTCACAATGAACCAGTTCGTGTAATAACAGCAACACTGTTAGAGTTTCAAAGTACTGCAGATAACATAAGCGACGATTTTGGACAAGAGGTTTGTAGCACAACAGCTAGGCGAAAAAGCACTGGCTTTAACATTTCGACATGACTGAGGACTTGTGATGATGTAGTTATTCCTGTGTCTAATTTACCTCCTCACTTGGATAGATAAACACAACTCAGGATGAACAACACAACCAACATCACAACAGAGTATGAAGAGGGAGGCCGGTCATGTCCCTATCCGAGTATGACTCTCTGGCAGCAGTCGGCCCGAGCAGCAAGTGTCCTTCTGGTTATCATCTTGTCACTCGTCGGGAACATCTTTGTCTTGTACGTCGTAAGAAACAACATCAAACTTCACACGGTGACCCATTATCTAATTGTCAACTTGGCCGTCGTCGATCTCTTGATAACAGTTTTTAACATGTCTGTGTTATTGAAGACCGAAGTCACTGGGAACGATGAAGTATTTGGCGGCATCGCTGGACAAATCTACTGTGTTGGAATCATTGTGGTGCTCAATCTTTGCGTTGTTTGTTCCATTCTCATCATGACAGCAATTGCTGTCGAGAGATTTTGCTCTATTGTATTTCCATTTAAGCGAATAATAACTTTCAAACTGGCCAAAGCAATAGTGGCGGGTATCTGGCTTTGTTCCTTTCTAGTCACGATCCCGTTTTTCTTCCATATCAAAGTAGTAGATTACTATGGTGACGGGGTATTCTACTGCGTGGAGGACTGGTCCCCACTTGATACGATAAGAGCTTCCCAAGTGTTTCAGATCGTGTTCTTCGTTCTTGTGTACGCATGCCCACTCATTGCCATCTTCGTATTGTATTCATGCATTGGCATTAAGCTGTGGAGACGACAAACGAAGAGGCAAGTCTCGTCATTCGGCAATTCCCACAGGCGAACACGCATGACAGTGCAGGTGACCAAGATGCTGATCGTCAGCGTCATGGTGTTTGCAATTTGCTGGCTTCCACAACACGTGGTTCTGTTCATCAACTACTTCATGTTACACATATGTCCTCCTGAGTTTCTGTGGTTTGGAGGAACTCTACTTGCTTATGCAAACAGTGCGATGAACCCAATAATTTACGTTGCATTCCACTCGGAATATAGGAAACAATTCAAGGTTGCTGTGGTGAGGTGTTGCCCAATTTGTCGCGGACTTCGCAACCCCGGCGTTCGTCTCAAAATGCGTGTAGGAAGAGAAGTCGAGGGGTCCGAAGAGTTCGTTATGGTCAATGTTTTATCCTTTAAGATCAAGTCAAGCGAAGGAACTGAAGCCAGCCTTGTCAATGCCAGCAGTCCGAGTAACAGAAGCAAAGAAAATGCTGGATTTAATATAAGAGAATGATGAAAACGAAATGTTTTAAATATGCCAGAAAAGAAAATTATCAAAGGTAGCGTTAAGTGGCAAAGACCCCTTCCAATATGGGAACATAACATGCAGGACTTTGACAAAGAATAGAGACTGTTGTTTAACATATACGATGACTAAATAACCCAGAATATCAGTTTTGTGTTTATTCTCAGTAGAATAAGAACAATGATATTGGAAAGTTCAACGTAATAACAAAGCCTTGCAGAAATGTTGATGAGAGCGACAACTGAAGTGTCTTAAATTTGTTCCCAAGTAGACTGGGTACTCCAAAATTGCGTACAAACCAAGATTTACTTCATTTAATTAACGTGAATTGCTACAGGGGAGTTTTTTGGGGGTGATCCATTCAAATTACGTTTACACTAAGGACATGTACTGTGCACATCTTCTTTGGTTAACTTTCGCAGCGTGAAATACTCCTGGTATTCACGAAAAAGCTGGGTGTAAAGAGAAGGAGTTAAAATCCTTAAAACTTGAGAGACGGTCTGCATATGGTTATTTAATCCACGGGTTTTGAAGAACGAATGACCGAATCTATTATTACCACTATGATGTTGCATTGATTTCAGTTTTCTGTTTTCTGATTTGAACCTGGCCACCTTAAGGAAAACGGCTAATCAATCAAAACGTACACTGAGAACAATGGACTGGTAGCTTCTTGTGACGGTGGGTAACGGTCTGTCTGACGTGAAAACATAAACACTATCGACTCCTCTGCGTTATATAATATACACTCTGAGACATTCAGTCCTTGACGACGAATAATCATGATTATAGATCTCGCTCGAAAAATTTAGCTTGAAAACTCATTTTGCGACAACTAAACCGAAACCGTTGAAACGCGTACAAAATTTAGGATCGAAACTAACCAATCAACAAATGGCAAAGTTTCCTGAGAGATTCGCAACACTTCGCACTTTGTTGGGTTTTCAATTTTGTTAAGGTCTATTGTTCGTATTCTTCAATGATCATTGTTTATTTGAGAAAAAGATCGCTGTCATTTGTTCTCAGGTAGCGTTCTGATTGGTTACCTCTTTTCCAAGTGGCCCGGTTCGAGTAATCGCACTGTAATGTTTTTGTGACCTTTAGTTTCAACTTAATTGATTTCAGGCTCTACAAAACAGTTACAATAAAAAAGGCAGCAAAAGAAAAAATAAAACCTGGACCCTCTTTCAAGGACGTTCGCGCCCAAAATGTTCCCACGCACAGATATTTTTTACTACTTGAAATGTAGTAAGGAAAAGATCAACTTTTGACAAAAAGTAAAAACCGAAAAAAAAAAAAGAAAAACACAGTTACACGCCGCCGGGCTCGTCTACGATAAGGCCCATTGTAGACCGTGTGTTTTTAGCAGCTTTTGTCATTTTGGGACGATCTTATAACGTACGACTATCTCCCAGAAAAGGAGCTACATTAGTAGAATTTAGATCGGGTAAACGTACTAAATTCATCACACCTAACCATATTAAGTAACCTTTTACAGCTAATGTCGCTCCTTAATGTAATACGCCTTGAAGAATACAAATTAGCCTTACCCTTCCACATTCGAAGAAAACTTCGGTCACACGAGAGTAGAAGAGGCTAAATATTGTAACTTATTGGACCTGTATATAACGGCCCTGTATTAAGCGGCTAGTTTTCAAAGTCCCGATTTTTCGCCCATACAAACGCTGTAATTGTTACCTGTATTGGGCGACCACCTCTATTAAGCGGCCGCGGCCGCGGCCACCCTGTAGCAGCCCTATGTTTGTCTTTCTTTGTTATTTTACCCGTATTAAGGGGCCACTCTGAACGTAACAGCTATGAAATTGAACGTAAGAACTATCAAATATTTCGTTGTGAACTGTAAGTCATAGAATTACAGTACCGTATACCGTAGAAGAGTAGAGGACAATTTATCGCACAGTACTTAAACATAATGTTGCGTTTATTATATCGCTAGTTACGTTACAAGTTGGCACTGAACCTTGTTTGAAGTATTGATCGTTTGAAAGAGTGTTGATTGTCCTATTGTTTCCTTGCATGAACTGTTTTTGTAGATAAGCCATTAAAATTGACATTAGCCCACGCCCAGTGAGTATTTTTAGTGATCCTGTATTAAGCGGCCAGTTCCTCAAGTCCCGAGGGTACGGTGGCCGTTATATACAGGTCCGACTGTACTTGCTACTTTTGCACTGAACTGACTAAACATTAAGCTGCTCTCAACCAATCTGATTGGATTTTTCTCAGTCAAACGATTAAGGGGTGATTTATAACTACATATTAACCGAGAATGATGTCTTTACGGGAAAATATCAAACCGAGAACTACAATTGGCCAATCAGAGCGCGCGTTATATCGGCTACAGAAACAAGCCATATAATAAGGGCATTTGGGTAATTTCAAACATATCGAGGCTAGGAAGATTTTGATAATTTTTTTTTTATATTGAAAGAGTTAGTGGCCATGATAGGGCAAGTGTCGTAAAACCAAAACCAAAACAGTAATCACTCAAGCCATTCACACAAGGCATCAACAAACCAATCAAAACTCGAATAAAAATACATATAGCTGAGGAGAAACAGGGAAATTTAACAAGGGTTGACACATTTTGCCGGTATAATTTCGAGCATAATAGTACCATTTTGTCAGCATAATAGTGCCGTTTTGCTTCAAAACAGCTAATTTTTTTTGAAAAAAATTTCTTGGCTATTAAATTGAAAATTACGTTTGTTCTGTGAGAGGGAGGGGGTAAGAAAATCACTTAGTGTAGTAAAGCAAATTCAAAAACAAACCAAGTGTAAATTTTCGTTACTCAAGTGTAAAAACAGCGCTATTCCATCATTTATAGAAACACGGCATGGAAAAATTAAGAAAGAAGCTATTTAGGGGCAATTTTAAAATGGCGTAGGTGTCCAATTTGAGCGCTCTAATTTGGAAAAGTTCAAATTGCAACACCCACATGACAGCGCTCAAATAATACAGTAAATAAACGCATGGGGGACCATTCAGAGGCAAGAATTGTGTTATTGCTTCCTATATCAGTTTTCAACCTCGCAGCAACCTGAAAAAGCATAAATTATACACCTGTCTTTCGCAGTTCTTTCATATCAAAGATTTCCCAAAGTTTTAATGCTTACCCGATTCCATTTCTGTTTTTGCGTGTTGTTTTTGGATTGCCAATTGAAATTAAAGAAGATCTATTTTTATCATTAAAATCTATCAGATATTTTTTCCATATCAAAGAAAGATGACTAAACAATTGTTTAAGATATCTTGGGACAGCCTGAATATGGCAAGGAAGAGCAAAATTCATTTATCTTTACTACGTCAAGTTTACAACTTTATATCTTATTTCCTGTCGAAAAAGGTGAAACAAGTCAAAAGAACGGCATCGATCAGATGAGGACAAATGCGCAAATATACGACAAAGTGAAAACATTTACATTGGGTTTAAATGCTATCTCTATAGTAAAAGGGTCCGTAGCGCTCACAGCTTTGCCATTTTAACTAACTAAGACTGAGTCTAGCAATTCCGAAAACTGAACTCCAAAAGATTTTTTTCCCCGTATTTGAGATACGCTGATTTTCTAAAACATTTCGAAGTTAGATTCAGTTTGTTGGACTGAAATGTCAGCTTGGGTTTGAATATTGGCATCTACGTCATTTATTTGTGTTTCACACACAAGAAAATATAATATTTTTCACCAAGAAAGTAAGAAATCGGAGAATAAGTGACTATTCAAGAACAACATTTTCGCCTCACTCAAGCCTTGCTTTAGAATTCGAATTACATGTTGTTAAAACTCCGAAATTAAACGCGACTTTCATTTGGTTAGGGAAACCAGAGACATTTTAAGGTGATTGAGAAGGCATCTGATAATCACAACTTGTCATGTAATAAGCAGTGATATTTGTCTAGTGACAAACGTTTACTACAAAGTCGACCACTGAACGCGGATAGATAACCATTTACAAGGTCAACAGAGTGCTCTCATGTTAGCAGGATATTGAATAGAAACCAATGGTGGTTCAGTGGGAAGGTTCTAATTAGAATGTGAATAACTGACATATTATATACGTTTAAATTTCCAGCTACACGTAAAGCCTACAAAGTTGAAATAGGCAGGATGTTTGCCTGAAACGGATGCCAGATAACATGGTATGAAGGCTGAGACTGAGTTTAAAACTTGGGTAATTTTACCGTGGAAAATGAATTTAGGTGGTTCGCTATTTGTGAGACGAAGGCATTTTTGAATTGTGCAGCCATTTAAGATTGAAACGGTCTTAATTAGTTTTTGCACCTGGAAGGTTTATCAGTTGATATCTTGGTGAACAAACAGTGAGGTGTTGTGTTTGCGGCGGCGACGTTTTGTTTTACAACTAGAGATCCAGACTAGTTATTCCAGCCGGCTGTGAACACTTGGCGATTTCTCATCGCTACAATATGTCGGCAATTAGTGGTGTAGTGTAACAATCTCGAGGAACTACCTGATGTTAGACCGATACAAGGATTTAAGCGGAGGAAATTTAACAGTGTCATTCACTGCTTCATAGTAAATCAAAAAAGCAACAGAGGGATTTACAGGTTAGTAAGAGTAATTCTCAAGCGCCACCTTTAGCAAACGTTATCAATAAGGCCAGTAGAAGGAAATTTCCCATTGAAAATAGGAAACTGGAAATGCATTAGAAGTGCATGAAATTGTCGTACCTTTAAAATCTTTTCATCATTTAAGAAAATAATTCTTTCAGTAATATTTCAGGCTTAGTTTTACGATAAAGCTGGTTGGCTGTTTATCTTTATGCCACGTTATCAGTTTTGCTCGAACATTTAGAAAATTGCATATTCTTGGGTCGAACCCTCCTTTTAACACACGGATATCGGAAACCTTTCCCTTCTTGCTTGCATCGTTCATGAAATTGGACTTTCCGTCCATTATTTTGCAGTTAAGTTATTGCAATCAGACAAAATATAATATGAAATGTAAACAATGTGGTTATTAAACGTCAAATGTCGAGCAACACGCAGGAGATATCAATTTGTTTTTGCTGCTTTTCTTTCAATGTTATTTCAGTTTCATGTGACGGACTATATCCCTACTCTGTACAGAGCCAGTGTTCCAGTCTTTCCTGATATTATTGTTGTGATGTTTTTTTATCTTTTACGCTACAGAGTCTTTTATATTGCATATCGAAAAAAGTCGGAAGTTCAGACCCAAATGAAGAAACACGCTTTAAGTTACGAAATTTTACAACTAAGAAAACGTTATTTTTTTTGGCTGTATAGAATAAGATACGTTCACACAAAATTAATGCTTGGAACTACAACCACTTCTAGCTGTTCTTTGCTTAATTCATTTCTTTTCCTTTTTCAACGTGGGCTAGCAGCACTTACTAAAAAGCAAATATCTGTCCTGACAGTAATTATAATGAGTTCATTTTAGAAAACAGCCTTACCCAATACCCCACTTTTCTTTCCGTCCTGCGATGTTTAAACTCTGTTGCTGTCAGAACTTATCACTTATTACCTCATCGATTCAGTGACAATTTTTTTCACTGACATCGAAGTCTAGAAAGAGCTTCGTCCAAACGTAATCGGCTGCACAATGGCCACAACTTCCTATTTCTAACAGAATCCTTTTAATAATCCTCACCAGAACAGAACTGTCATACTATGTCTCTCCTCACGCACTTAAGTTTCTTTCGATAACTTTTTTTAAAGTGGCACGTCGTCGTTTCTTTATTCAGCATTTGAACATCCGTATCAAAAAAATCATTGCCAATTAGTTTAAATAACCGCCACAAGCTTTTCTAGTGTTAAATACATGATCCATCCATTTTCGTCACTCAAAATTTTCCTCATGGACCGAAAAGGGTTTCACTCAGTCAAATGTTTGCCTCAATCGATGACTGGATGTTATGCATGTTCTAAACGATATTTTAAGGAGATGCATCCCATACGGCGGATATATTTTATAATTTTTCAACACAAATTAATTCCAAGGTAAATATTTCTTTTTCTTTTTCAGACATGCTTTTCCAAATTAATGCACATAAAACGATGTGGCATAATTTTTGGGCCTCTTTGGAGACCTCTTTGAATGCCTCAGAGTCTAAATTAACAATATCCCTAGCGAAATATACACTGTTATTGTAGGTATAAATTCGTGCGTGTCAAACGGGGAAAATGACACAAGTTTTTGCCACTTTGTTAAAATGTTCATCTTTTATTCATTAGTTTCAAACGGGTTCCCTTCAAATTTGTTCGCCAGATGGTCATCGAATGTAAGCAAAAGGAAGCTAAAGCATATGGAACAATTATTAGTTGCGGTCACAGTTTGAACCAGCCAACATCTTTTGCTTCCAGATTTCTTCCTAAGCACTGGAAGGTTGCACAATGATTAACGATACTTTCATCCCGAACATTTCAACTGAAAATTTCGACTCGGCAGACGTCGATTGTCCAGAGGAAGAACCGTACACATCACAGAAGCGCTTCGTGCGAACATCACTGTATACAGTGGCGATGGTCTTGTCTTTGTTCGGTAACGTCATCATTATCTGCATCGTACGAAAGAATCGACGGATGAGAAATTTAACCCATTACCTAATAGTCAACATGGCAGTCGCAGATCTTTTGATTACAGTTCTTCACATGCCTTACAGACTGCAGATTCAGCTGACAAACAGTCATGGTCTGGTGGTTGGCGGCCTTACGGGTAAACTGATCTGTAAACTGGTGGGATATAGCCAAGATGTATCTATCGCTACCTCTGTCTTCACGTTAATGGGGATTTCCGTAGACAGGTTCATGGCGGTCGTATTTCCTTTAAAAAGAGCCACGTTGAGCCATAAAGCACGGTATGTGCTCGCTCCTATCTGGATCACATCGATTGTTGTATGCTCACCTCTCCTTTACGTCAACAAAATGGAAGAATACGAAGGAGAGTTTCACTGCTATGAAGAATGGGCTCCACTTCTCGGGTCAGAGACGGCTGGACGTTATTACACTGTTATACAATTTGCATTGTTTTACATTGTACCTTTGATCGCTGTAGCAGTGTTATATTCCTGTATAGCATTGAAAGTTTGGAATCGTCACGTTCCGGGTCGACGCCATTTGCCTCGCGCGCGGTTTTATTCTGTCGCCAGGAGGAAACTTTTGAGAATGCTCATCATCGTAGTTTGTCTTTTTGCCGCCTGTTGGCTTCCCTACCACGTAGTATTTTTGCTTGAGTTTTTTAGCGAGAAGTACTTACATTGCCTTATTCCTGAGACCATAATGTTCTATTGCCTCTTTGCTGGACATTCAAACAGCGCTATCAACCCATGCGTCTATTTCGCCATTCATAAAGAATACAGAAAAGGTCTCCTTCAGGTTATCCGAAGGGCATGCTGCCTCAGAGTTGCGACTGCTTTTTCAAGTTGTCTCCGTCGACAAAAAAATTCGTTTAACTTGCAGGTAGATATCGACCTTGCGGCATGGACAGTAAGTCCTACCTCATATTTAGGGATGTTGAACAAGAAGCCGAATCTTAATTGCGACAATTTAGCACGGAACCAGGTTGTTAAAAACAGCACGAATGTGTTTGAAAACCCATTGTAAATAGATAATAACAAGACTCCAATTCTTTTGATTTTAAACATTTAGTGTTGTCAATAACACTAACCTATAATTCGTTAGGTTGAAGTTGTACGTGCGGTGACCATCTTTAAAGTGATTTCGTATTGTTTCATTAAACTGCGACGCATCAACGTACAGTGCTGTGCAAGAGTAAAACGAAACTCGACGAAAACCTGGCGGAGCAACTAAAAATAAGACCGGCGACATTTCACTTTTGATCATATCTCACCGAAATTTCGAAACGCTTCGTATTGTTTTCCTTGCCGGCAGACGACGTGCAAAACACATATCACTATAACTTTAAGCGAACTCAGACGCGTTATAAACATCACAAACGTGGCATGGAAATTTTTCTATACATTACAAAACAGAGTCCAAAATAAAACTTATACTAGTTCTTAAGAAACTATGGCGAGAAAGTAGGCTTGCAAAAGAATATTTTCCGAAATCGGCTAAAATTAAAACAACAAAAAAATAATAACATCGACGATGATACAAAATGCTCGCTGAGATGAGAAGATTAAGATGGAGGAAGCAATTCCAAAGGTTTTTCAAAACGGTTCCGCTTTTGACCTATCTCAGAAAATGTCGACCAAATTCAGTAAAGAACCGTAGCGGCGAAAAATTCCAAGAGATTTTGAAGTCCGTTTTTACAAAGAGGAAAGGTACGTTTAGTAGAGATTAGACAAACTTGCTTTTAAGAGACCGTCTTTGTTTATTACGCCATGAATAAGATAGTTGTCGATCATACTAAGCCTCGTCGGATTCAGTGAAAAATTGTCGTCATCGTGTGTTACGAAATTTGTCATCGACATGACAGGACCGGAGTGAAGAGACGTCTCCGAAATCTTTTAGCAATTCATAAATGTTGTGAAGTAAATAAAAGTGACATACGAGGCTGACGAGATATATGCGAAAGACTGAGAGGTCCAATAATGGTTCTATTGAGAATCTGTCTGTCTTCAATTCTCCCCAATTCTTCTTTGGTTTTGGCTTTTGTTTCTGTGTTCTGTCGTTGGTTTTTTGTGTTAGACAAAAAATAATTGAAAAGCAGGTGAAAGCTAGAGTGAGAACTAGAGTTTCGTTACCATGGTAACATAATGGGTTCCAGATCTCCCCGATATTTCAGGTTTTTTTAGCCACCTGATTTGTGCAATCGTACCCAATCTTTATGATCCAGCATGCATATTTCGCGCTCGTGGCCTTATTTAATATTTTGCGAGATAAAAATCACTGAAGTATTGAAATCAGGTTGGAGAGGACTGGAAAAGAGTGAGACCTCTCGCGATCCAAACGGTGCTGTAGTTTTGGAGAAGTAACTTTTTTCGCCGTGGACGTGTAAACTCTGACAAATATCAAACAGCACTTTCAAAATTAAAAACGCAAAAGTCTGCTCCATGATTTTCGGAGCGAAAGTTCTAACAAACTGGAAACAACTTTATAGCTGCCCTGCGCTTTGGAAAAACCTTTTGAAATAGATGTTTCTCATTTCAGCTCTAGACTTGCCACAAGTCGACCTCATGAATTTCAGGGTAGAATATGTTACGCCGCGAAGCGGCCGTTTTAAGGTCGCAAAGCGGCTTAGCGAGCGACGAAGTCGCGAGACGTCGACTTGTCTCGCTTGAAGGGTTTTCATTTGCGTTTCGCGCCAAAAATGAGGAGTGGCGTGACTTGCAACTGGTTTCTCAGACTACATTTGGATTGAATTGAATGGCGGAAAGTATCGGTTCCACTCCGACCAAAATAATCGAACGTGTGTGCATTTCTCCTGCGTCGAAAGAGCAAATT